CCCCAAAACCCCAAAACCCCAAAACCCCAAAACCCCTTGAGGTTAATCCTGATGAATTATATAAGATTTGAATATACTATAGGTAGATAAATAATATTTTCTCATTATTATTAATAATATTTGATAGATCTCATTATTATATTCATATACCGATATTTTTGAATGGAAAAAGAATTATATAACAACTCTCTGGAGCTAGAGAGCGCTACTCAATATTCTCAAGACATTTCAAGCCTTACTTTGAAAAATAATAGTTCGATCAGAACCACAGTAGATTACTAGAATATCAAAGCACTAAGTGTTCTGGGCAAAGGTGCCTAAGGCCAAGTAGTACTGTGCAGATCCTAAAATTAAAGGGAATAAAAACACTTCGTAGCTAAAATATTCTCGCATACAGAGTATATAAAAGAGTAAAATCTAAACTAGCAGCATTTGCAAAACATTTAAAATGAATTCCAAATAATGGTAAGAATTTGTCTGTCTTTATTCTATAATTAGGAAAAGTTGCGTCTGGAAAGACAAGCTAATAAACAAATAATTAAAGGACTACTAGCCAAGAAGTAAAGTTAGAAGACTCGCCGGTCCTCTAATGAGGATGTCGTAATCCAAAATCAAGCAGATAAATTCCTAATTAAGCCTCTGTTTTAAATAAAGGGCGACACTCATTCACTCATGGCTTTGGAGTTGTGTCCAGGTGGTGAGCTCTTCTCTCTCATGAAAGCAAAGGGTAGTTTGAGCGTAGAAGAGGCAAAGTTCTATACAGCAAACGTCATCATTGGTCTTGAACGGCTCCATTAACAACTAATTATATACAAAGAGTAAGTTTAAAGCATATGACTTATGCAATATCTTTTAGTCTGAAGCCTGAAAACATTCTAATTGATGCCTAGGGATATTGCAAACTCACAGACTTTGGATTATCCTAGATCGATCTAAGGTCTACAAGTCAGATATCTTTATCGGAGCCACAGAGCGGTATCTAATAAAGCTAAGGAACCCAAATATTGAAAATATCTGAAAATAAGAAATAAGCGATTTAGCTGGATGACGTAGACTTCGGTACCCCAGAATACATGCCTCCTGAGTATTACAAAAGCAATGTATACGACTATGCAGGAGATTGGTGGGCTCTAGGTTGCTTAATCTACGAAGTCGTTACAGGTTCCCCGCCATTTTTCAACCTAGACATGAAGAGACTCGCTTCAAGAATCATTTGTAATAATCCTTTGATTTATCCTTAATTTAGATACGGACCCTGACTATAAAAAGATAGATGACGAGAACTTGAAAGATTTAATAAAAAAACTACTTTCTAAAGACCCATTATAAAGAATTGAGTATTCTAAAAATATAAAGAATCATTAATGGTTCTGTGACTTGAATTGGAAAAAAGTATTAGATAAGACGATGGCGGCACCTTATGTACCTTCTGTTTCTAAATAAGGTGATTTGGTGACCAATATTGACCATCAATCATAAAGTCTGGTGGACCTTTAAAACTTTAATAAAGACAGCTTGGCCAAATCTATAGAGGAATCTCAAGGTATTTTGGACTCATTGGTTCAGATAAAACTAGCTTAAAGTCAAAAGATGAGAAATCAGATTGAAGAGGCTATGAGATCTGATGGAACAATGGAAGCTGAAGATTATGACTACATGGAATAAGATTTGATTTCTAACTCATCGTTCATTACAAATAGAAGTAACAATAGAAGTGTAAGCCCGTCTAGTAAAAGAGGAAGCAAAGCTTCTCAGCTGTTCATTATCTGAATCCGATTCCACTCTTGAGAAAATATCTTTGCAACTTTCAAGTATTTTCTGTGCTTATAGATTCTTCTAACTACTTTTTCCTTATAAATTTGGACTCTAATTTTAGACACATTTTTAACTCTCTGGGGTTTTGGGGTTTTGGGGTTTTGGGGTTTTGGGGTTTTGGGG